TCATTTGATCGGTATTTTATGCATATTTGAGTTTAATCGACCCTTTACCCACTTCAATTCTGCCAAAAACTAAGAAATCTATGTGATTTTGAGATCATGATATTGATTGGTGTTGAGTCAACTCGTTGTCAATTTGGTGACTTTAATCTCACTTCTCTCACGAATTTGATGTATGCTCATTGATGGCTAAATGGGTCTGTGTTTTTCTTGCCCTTTTCTGTGTTTTTCTCACGTTTATGTTCTTGTTTTCAATTTTTATTCGTAATTTTGTGTCTTGCTGTTTGATTATTTAACTTAGCATAATTGTTGTTGAAATTGAAGCTAGGATTTGTTTGAGAAAAATGTTGCTTTGTAAGCTTTGTAGCTGAAGTGAAAATTTATGGTGTGGAAATGGGTTATTGATTCACAGAAATACTCTTATGGCTATTGACAGAATAATAGGACAAAGTTAGTATCTTTGCAATGCATATTCTCATATTGATTAAATCGGATGTATTACAGTATTTTAGTGCCAAGATACAGCTTATGAGCACAGTTTAGGTTAGCACAACTTCTTATGTATGCTTTCTAATCTGTTGCAGGGGTTAAATTCTTATCAAATGCAGGGCACAGAAAAGTTGGACTCCACATTTTAGTTCTCATCATCTCCAAAGGAACAAAGTTCGGCTCCAACCTTGACTCAACAATTGCATAAAAGCAACAAAAAGAAAAAACTGTATTTTATTTCTGTATGGAGCCATTATGGAAGCTAGCCTATTTACTTGAACCCTCCTCAATCACTCTTTTCCTAACTGCTGTCTTAGTTTCATATGCCTCGGCCTCTCGAGCCCTAAACTATGGGAAGGAAATGGAAAGAAACCGTGACCTTTCGGAAGCTTCCATCACCTTAGACCGTTCTCAGGCACTAATGATTCCCATAATGAGCTCTTTTAGCTTGCTTCTCATGTTCTACCTATTCCCTTCTGTCTCTCAGCTCCTCACAGCCTTCACGGCAGTTGCCTCTACATCGGCTCTGTACTTTTGCCTCTCACCGTATGTGGCTCAAATCAGGTCCAGATTCGGGCTGCCCGACCCTTATCTGTCACGTTGCTGTACAAAATCGGTCACGAGAATCCAAACGCTATTACTCGTTACATGTGTTGGATTTGTCGTGTCATGGCTGGTGACAGGTCATTGGATATTGAACAATTTGTTGGGTATTTCCCTTTGCGTGGCTTTTGTGAGCCATGTTCGGTTGCCGAATATCAAAATTTGCGCCATGCTGCTTTTTTGTCTGTTTTTATACGATATATTTTGGGTTTTTTATTCGGAGAGGTTTTTCGGTGAGAATGTGATGGTCTCGGTTGCAACCCAACAGGCGTCTAACCCTGTTCATACGGTGGCCGATAGCCTGAGCCTTCCCGGGCTGGGGATGATTACGAAAAAGCTCGAGCTTCCGGTTAAGATTGTTTTTCCGAGGAATATGTTGGGAGGTGGGGTCCCAGCAAACAATGTTTCCGATTATATGATGCTTGGCCTTGGTGACATGGTGAGATATGTTGATATGCTTTTCTCTTTTTTTTTTCAATTTTTTTCATTATTTATATTATATGGTATTAGAATTCTTTTTCATAGATTTGAGTGTGGAGGTGGAAAGTCCAGTCAGTCAACATTATAATTTTACTTGGTTTATATTGGATGGTTTTATCCCTTTTTGTTTTGTAATTTAGTGCTATATAATCTGATAAGGTGTCTATACACTAGTATTATCTTGCATGTCTGAAATACTTCACTTTTTCACCCTAACTTAGAGTTGTTTTAGTTTGTGCTACTCTTCTGACTCACAGGTCAGACATAATTTAACAAAGAAAAAGAAAAAGCAGCTGAAAATGGTTTTTATTGCAAGTTTGAATACGAAGTTTCGAATTCTATCTTGCTCTGTCATTGATGATTTGCGTATATATTCATATTGATTTTTTTTTTTAATTTATTTTTTCTTTTCCTCAAGCACATTCATGTTTGATCAACTGTTCTCAAATTCAATGTCTTCAAATATCCCACCTTGTGTCTGAAGAAAACTTTTAAGGGCATGAATGCATAACTTGTGATTATTCCTTTTAAAGTGAGCATTCATTTTTGCAGGCTATTCATTTCCTGGCAAATCGAATTTTTGCGAATTTTTGCTATTCATTCACTTTATTTTACGAAAAAGTGAGCATTCATTTCCTGGCAAATCGAATTTTTGCAGGCTATTCCCTCTATGCTTTTGGCGCTTGTCCTTTGTTTTGACCATAGGAAAAGCCGAGACCCTTCAATTGACTTGGACTTCCAATCTTCAAAAGGGTTCAAATACTTCAAGCACGCCCTTTTCGGGTATGCAGTTGGACTGCTTACAGCCTTGGCAGCTGGTATCTTAACACACTCACCTCAACCGGCTCTCTTGTATTTGGTAAAGTTCAATACACGATTATTAGTCTTACTTACAGAAGGTTTTTTTTTTACTTTTTAGTATCGTTTGAGCT